TGGGGCTTCGGGAGTCGGGCGAAGCTCAGATTGGGGGCGGGGCGTCCTGGGCGGGGGCGCGGGGCCGTGGACTGACCGGAGGGGTTTGGCCTGGGACCTGGGGCTTTCTGTTGGAGAGCGCGGAAGTCGAGTCCGAGTTCGGAGCTTCGGTTTCGTCTGGCTCGGGATAGGGCCCCTCCGAGCTTGGATACAAGGTCAGCGGTCCAGATTTCCTCCTCGGACTCTCAGCGCCCTGCTCCCATAGGTGGCCATGACCGGCAGAGCCCGCAAAGAGGCCGTACAGGCCGCGGCCCGCGAACTCCTCAAGTTCGTCAACCGGAGCCCCTCCCCCTTTCATGGTAAGTGACCAGGGCGAGGAAGGTGGGGGAAGCCTGGTGTGGCCCCCACCGGGGTCCGTAGCAGTGAGAGCGTTCTTTCCGAACAGTTGTGGCTGAGTGCCGCAGCCGCCTCCTCCAGGCAGGCTTCCATGAACTCAAGGAGACAGACAGCTGGGACATCAAACCTGAGAACAAGGTACGCGGGGTGGGGTGGAGGTGGGGGCAGAGAGGCCGTGCAACCTGGCGGGAGCTCAAAGTCTGTGTGCCAGCAGGCTAACCCTGCTCCCTCCTCCCAGTACTTTCTGACCAGGAACTCCTCCACTATCATCGCTTTTGCTGTGGGTGGCCAGTATGTGCCCGGCAATGGCTTCAGCCTCATTGGTGCTCACACGGACAGCCCCTGCCTCCGGGTAAGGAGCTGGGCCTGTGCTGAGGGTGCTTGGGGAACAGGGACCCGGACAGAGCCAGGAGTCCAAACTGGAGGCTCCATGCCCTGTAGTGAGTGGCCCAGATCCTGACACGCACATGGTTATATCCCAGATTGGCCGTGAGAATCCGACAGTGTGCCTATGGAGAAAGGCCTGATCTTACTCTGGAAAGTTCACAGCCATTGAAACCCCTGTGGGAGGACGCCCTACAGATCCACTGTACCTCACCTGGGGGCGTCATGAGTCAGAGTCTACTCAATTTCTTTAATCCCTGGCTGGTTTACTCCACCCCCTCTGCCTTCCATGCCACCTAATATTTTGCTCCGGGTTCCTTAACTTGTCTTGGTCCGAGTTTGGCCCAAACAGGAAATGGAAGTTCTGGAGGACAGGGTCCTGCGGGCATCTTGCCTCTGCACCTGGACACCCGGCCAGTGAAGCCCACCTTGTCATTTGCTCCCTCTGACCGCTGTGCCCCCCACTCCATGCTCAGGTGAAACGCCGGTCTCGCCGCAGCCAGGTGGGCTTCCACCAGGTGGGTGTGGAGACCTATGGCGGTGGCATTTGGAGCACCTGGTTTGACCGGGACCTGACCTTGGCCGGACGTGTCATTGTCAAGGTGGGAACTGGAGGCTGGAGATTGATGGTCACTTCCCTGCGGCCTACCCAAAGTGAAGTCCCCTGGAGTGAGGGTGGGGGTGGACAGGCTGCCCTGCTGAAAGGGGCCCAGAAGACCCCTTGATTGGTCTGGGTGATGTGGGGGCTCTCCCACAGAGCCCCACCTCAGGCCGGCTGGAGCAGCGGCTGGTGCATGTGGAGCGGCCTGTCCTCCGCATCCCACACCTGGCCATCCATCTGCAGAGGAACATCAACGAGAACTTTGGACCCAACACGGAGATGCACCTGTGAGTCAGGCTGGCCCTGGTGGTTAGAGGGCCAGGTGTGGCAACGTGGGTAGGGGGATGGGGGGACCCGAACGGCCCCTAGGCGGGCGCCACCTCACCATGAACAATGATGCGTTTACGCCCTTAAAGCTCTGCTGAGGGCCAGGGCTAGGAGTCAGAGGGTAAGGGGCATTCCAAGGTTAAGGGCGCTTTTCCTCTGGGAGATGGCTGTGCCCACCAGCCCTCCCTACAACCCCCTGGCACACTTCTCTCCCCAGAGTCCCCATTCTGGCCACAGCCATCCAGGAGGAGCTGGAGAAGGGGACGCCTGAGCCCGGCCCTCTCAATGCTGTGGTAAGAGGGGCCCCTGCTACAAGGGGGGCTGGGCAGGGGACTCTGAGAAGGGGAGGGGGCCAGACCCTCATCCCAGCACCCTCCCGTCCTGCAGGATGACCGGCACCATTCTGTCCTTATGTCCCTGCTCTGCGGCCACCTGGGACTGAGCCCAGAGGACATCGTGGAGATGGAGCTCTGTCTGGCTGACACCCAGCCCGCGGTGAGTTCGCCCCCCCCCCCCAGCATGGTCCTTGGAGCACCCAGCATGCCGCCAGCCCCCCAAGTACTCTTCTCGTGCAGTTCCAGCAGAGACCACCCTGATCCCCCAGGGAAAGCCCCAAGCCCCACTGCAGTGCCTCTGGGTGGGGTTCCCAAGACACTGGGCATGTGTTGGAGCAGCCAGACTCTTCTCTCCTGAAGTGGCTGTTGGGTTTGACCCACTGACCTTGAGCTTAGCAGGCCCAGTGCCTAATTCCCAGAGCCACCAGGGCTGGTTCTCAAACAGGTGGGTTTGAGAACCTCAACTCCCTGCAGCTGGGCCTCTTTCACAGGGACCCAGGCATTTCTGTGTGGGGGGTGTGTGTGTCACTGGCCCACACTGGCCCTGGACCTTCTAAAGCGAAAGGCCTGGGCGTGGCTCCCCTTCCTGGAGCCTTGCCAGCAGGAGGTTGCTGAGACAGCCTATGGCTCAGGGACGTGGTGATGATGAGTCTAAAGGTTGGCAGTTCAAATGCACTCCTTGGTGCCACAGAAGAAAGGCCCCATGATCTTCTCCCATAATGTTACAGCCAAGAAATCCCTCCGGGCCGTTCTGCTTTGTAGCTCAGGGACTGGACAGCAGTGGGTTTGGCTGGATGCCTGTCCTGTTTGAACACGCACAGCGCTTCCTGAGGCTTAGTCTTTTTTCCACCGTGTCCTTAGCTTTTCTTTGTTACCACTCAGCCCTCCCCTTTCCTGTCTCACTGGTCAGGAAGCACTAGGCCTCCACCCACCACCCTTCACCTCCACCCAGTACAGCCCCAGGGACAATAGGACCAGTTACTGGGGTCAGTGAGAGGTTGCTTGGGAACCCCCGAGAGTCTGCTGCCGTGGAGCTGCAGCTCAGGGTGGCTGTCTTGTCTCACCAGGTCCTGGGTGGGGCCTACGAGGAGTTCATCTTTGCCCCTCGATTGGACAACCTGCACAGCTGCTTTTGTGCCCTGCAGGTGAGGAGCGGCTGCCAGACACTGGGCACAGGCACCATCACGGGGGTGGCCTAGAGGGCGGGCTGCAGGGACTGGAGGGGTCACAGGCTGAGCACCATGCTCCGAGCTCCTGCCCTGTTGCTAGCTTGGATAGAGAGACCCTGGGGCACTTTTGCTTACTGCCCCAGGGGGCAGCACCATCCACCTCCCTAGCACATACATCCCCCCACCAGGTAGTGCCCTGAGAAGCCAGTCCTGAAAGCCCAAGCCCACTTCCCCCTGGTCCTGGGCGGATGGGCCACTGGGCAGCCTGAGCCTCCGCGGTCAGGGGGCTGGGTACCTGGAGGCAGTGGGGACTGTGATGCTCTTGTCCCCCACCAGGCCTTGATCGATTCCTGCGCCACCCCGACCTCGCTGGCCATGGAGCCCCATGTGCGCATGATCGCACTGTACGACAACGAAGAGGTGCGTGCGGGGCTTGGGGAGGGGTCCTGGGCTACTGTCAACCTGTGCTGGGCGCCTTCCACCACACAGGGCCGCTGCTGGGCCGCCACTATTTTCTGTTTGTGTGACCACAGTTCCTGTTTCTGTGCCTCCACCACATGGTGAGCTCCTCGGGGACAGGGACAGTGCCCAGGACACTGTCATAGAGACTCGAGTAGCCCTCTCACTTTCTCTTCTGGAGATGCACAGGCCGGACCACCTTGTGCTGGGGGTGGGGGGTGGCTGCCCCCAGCACCCCCATCATGTCCGTGGGGGGGGGGGCAGGGGCAGAGTATACAGCCATGCCTTTAAAATGCACGGCCCACGAAGCCCACCTCCGCTGACCCCCACTGGCTAGCGCTCAGCCCAGCTGCAGGAGAGACGGGGCTGACTGTGCATCATGAGGCCCTGCTGCCGCCATGGTATCAGTGATGCCGGTCCAGGCTCCTGGAGTTGGGGAGGTTACTCGTAAGCCCCCCAAGTTGGACCCCCTGCCCCAGGCATTCCGTGGGTGGGATCCTGCACCATTCTGGACTTTGGGACCTGGGCTCTCGAGCCCAGACCCCCAGAGTCGGTGCCCTGCTGTTTCCAGGTAGGGTCGGAGAGTGCCCAGGGGGCACAGTCGCTGCTGACGGAGCTGGTGCTGCGGAGAATCTCCAGCTCGGCCCAGCACCTGACGGCCTTTGAGGAGGCCGTGCCCAAGTCCTTCATGATCAGCGCCGACATGGCCCACGCAGTGCACCCCAACTACCTGTGAGTCAGACCACAGGTCTGGCCCAGACTCCTTCAGGGGGCCCCCTCCCCCAGACCTGGCGCGAGCCATTTCCCTGCCCATTCTCAGTAAGGACCTCCTGCTGGCTGCCCCCAAGCCCAGCGTGGCCAGAGTCATGTGCTAACCAGCTGTGGCATGTTGAGTGGGCTTCATGGCAGACTGACACTGGCCTCTGGGAGAGGCTAGCTGGGGCACAACGATGCCTGCTCTGGGAGGAGGAGGGTGATGTAGGCGGCTCCTGTTCAGTGTCACTGCCTTGACCTGCCCATCCCGCCTGTCCACCCACAGAGACAAGCATGAGGAGAACCACCGGCCCTTATTCCACAAGGTGAGCTGTCCCCAGCCTGCTCGGGGCCCGGGTGGCCTGGTCTTGTTTTTTCTGGGCATGTCACCTCACTACGGTCCCTGCCTCCCCTCCCTCCAGGGCCCCGTCATTAAGGTAAACAGCAAGCAGCGCTATGCCTCCACTGCCATTTCGGAAGCTCTGATCCGGGAGGTGGCCACCAGTGTCGGGGTGCCCCTGCAGGTGAGGGGGTGGCCTGTCTGGGAAGGCATGTCAGTGGGGGCAGGGTGGGGCACAAGCTGATGGGCCCAGGAAGGTGGGGTGCTGGAGAGGATTTGAGTCAAGGGGGCCCAGTAGAGGGAGGAGGAAGGTTCTAGAAAGGGCCTGAGCTGGGCTCACTGCCCATTGTGTGTGGTAGGTGCTGGCAGGATGGTCTTGGGCAACTCTTCCACCTCACTGGGTCTCAGTTGCACCTTCAGATGGGGCCGCTAGTGATGCCCGCTTGGTTTCTGTGAGTGCAGTGTGCTCTTGGCAGAGTGGGGGTGTCTTCCCCAGCACTACCCTGCACCCCTCAGTTCCTCGGTGTCTCTCTCACACCCTGAGCTTCCATAAAGCAAGTGCATGGCTGCACAACCTGAGACACCCCTGCCCAAAGACTACTTTTCCTCTTGTCTTAGAAATCACCTGCCTAATTCCTTCTCAGTGTGCACACTGAGTGTGTGTGTGCGTGTGTGTGCATGTAAGGGGCTCTGCCTGGTCAAGTGCCTCCCCATACAGTCAGTCTTGGCAGGGTTAGGACCAGGGCCCTGGCACCTTGATGCCCAGTGCCCAGGGCTCCCTCTGGCACCTCGCTGTTGAGGAGGCTGCCCTGGAGGATCCCATTCTGAGAATAAGCACGGCCAGGACTTCCCTTCCTGCGTCCACGATGCTCTTCCCTCTGACCCAGAATGTCTTGTTCCCTGGCATTCCTGTTGGGAGTCCTCATAAGTACTTTTTACCAGAATACCAAGAAAGTAATTATCTATGTCAGCAGCAATGTTTTCAAGAACACTAAAATTACTGAATGCGTTTTCTTTGAGCTGGGGGGGGGGCGGCGACCAAGAGGGCAAGGGGTAGGGGTACGCACTCGCTGTCTCTTAGGTCTCTTGGCTACTGTGTGGAGAACCGGTTGTGAAAGGCAGGTGGAGCATTGGACCAACCAGGCAAACACTGTGCCTTGAGGGCTGTCATTTAGTGTTGGTGGCGTGGCCTTATGGTCACCTCCAGCCTCTGGGGGGAGCTGGTGTGTGCCCCCTGGCTGATTCTGACTCAGCACAGATTCAAACTCTACAGGTCAAGGGAAACTGCCATGGGGATCTCCTGGTCTGTAATTATTACACCTGGAGCCACGGCGTGGGTTGGATCTGCCAACGTTTTCATTAGGCAAACTCACTGCCTTAGGGTCGATGCTGACTTACAGTGGCCCCATAGCACAGGGAGACCGTGCCTCTGTCTCCCCTCCAAGTGGCTGGCTGCTGGCCTTGCATTTAGCAGCCCAAAGCATGGGCCCTGCTCCCTGAGGGCTCTTCTGGTTAGCCCTGGAGTCTCTCACCAGAGCCCCTTCCCACGGGCAGACGGGACAAGCTCTCAGGCCCCTCTCACTCAGCCGGATTTCTCTGGGCCTTAATAAGCACCGCTCACCAGCCCCCTCCCTTTCCAGGACCTCATGGTCCGCAATGACTCGCCCTGCGGCACCACCATCGGGCCCATTCTGGCGTCTCGCCTGGGGCTGCGGGTCCTGGACTTGGGCAGCCCGCAGCTGGCCATGCACTCCATCCGGGAGACGGCCTGCACCACCGGCGTGCTCCACACGCTCACGCTCTTCAAGGTAACGCCCACCTGCCAGCCTCAGTCCGGACTCCCCCGCAGCTGGACTGATTGCTGGCGCCCTGGCTGGCTGGCCTGGCTGACGGGCTGGCCACATGGTGCTGTGTGCAGCCTTCCCCTTACGGCACTGGTTCTCAACCTTCCTAATGCTGGAACCCTGTCATACAGTTCCTCGTGTGGTGGACCCCCCAACCATAACATTATTTTCGTTGCTACTTCATCACTGTCATTTTGCTACTGTTACGAATCGGGTGACCCCTGTGAAAGTCGTTTGACCCCCAAAGGGGTCGAGACCCACAGGCTGAGAACCGCTGTCCTAAAGGCTCAGGCCCTTGTCCCACCCTCAAGGGGAATGCGGAGGTGGGAGGGGTGGCGGTGCTGAGGCTGGGACTGTGGTCAAACAATAAAGGAAGCAAGGACGCCCCTTTGGGGAAAGAGGTGCTTTGTCAGGCTCCCCTTCCCCCATCCCTCCATTCCAAATCCACACTGCTTCCCCTTTCAGGGCTTCTTTGAGCTCTTCCCCTCCCTGAGCCGGAACCTCCTCGTGGACTGAAGCCGCCTGGGAACTTCCTTTCCACCCTTTGCCACAGAGGGCGGTTCGCAGCTGAGCTGGCGCTGGAGGATTAAAGTGGATTTTTTCACTTACGATCACTTTGCCTGGCTTGTTTGGAGATCGACGGGTCGGGGATGAGCCTGGTTTGAGTTTGGGGGGGCCAGTGAAGCGGGAGGAAGTTGGAGTGCTGGCCCAGGAGCCCACAGCTCCTGGGAGGTGATGGAAGGCCATTTTCAAATCTTCCTGTGGGCTGGGTCCACAGCCAAGTCCTTCCCCCCACCCCAGCCTTCCCTTCCCCTAGAAGTGGCTCTAATCATCCCCAAGTCAGAGCCACCGCCTGAGGCCTGCACCGCAGCTGCAGAGAGAAGAGCCGGCCCTGTTCGTATACTGTCAGGCCCTGGAAACATGCAGACTGCGGCAGCGCCAGTCTGCCGGAAGCTAAGCTCCTCTCTCTCACCAAGACGACTGTGCTAAGTGGTGTCCTTCCCAAACGGTTGCTATCTGTGTGGAAGTGTGCCAGCCCCTGGTGGTGCTGCAGTTAATGTGCTTGGCAGCTAACCACAGGTGGGAAACATAGGTTCACCCAGGGGCGCTGCGGTAGAAAGACATGGGAACCTGCTTCTCAGACACATGTGCGCGGTTCTTTGTCAATACATAAACTTGGGTTTTTGGTCCAGCAGAACCGTAAGCCAGAAAACTAAACTCACCCCCTGGAGTCATGCCAACCCACAATGACCATACAGGACAGGGTAGAACTGCCCCTGGGGGCTCAGAGGAGTAGAAAGCCCCTTCAGCAGGTAGAAACCAGCTGAACCACCATGCCACCGGGGGTCCTGATAGGACTATACTAGCTTACAAAAGGAGAGAGGAAAACAAGTCAACATGCAGGGCTTCAAAAAGTTTGTGGGACAACGGGACTGAAAGGTAATGAAATTTCCCCACCCACTTTTTGAAGCCCAGCCCCCCTCGTGTGACAGAGAGAGCTCCTCATGAGGTCGAGCTATTTGACTGAGGCAAGAAATCAATCAGCTGAAGGACCCACCAGTAAGGGCAAAGCTGAAGACAATGAAATGTTTGTATTATTTAGTTGTCGAAAAAGCCCGTAAAATCTAGCATGAAGAAATGATTGTGAAGAGGAAAAAGCAAGTTGCAGACTTGCTTATGGTTTGTGATGTCATTTGTGCAGAACTCCTGTTTCACAAAGCAGTCGTATCTATCTTTATGCCTATCAGGAAATGTCGGGGGGAAATGCACATTAAACTAGCTGTGGATTTCTGGAATGGGGGTGACAAAGGTCTTGGCCCATGTGTACTGGCCTCCTTTTCTATAAGAGGATGCATGTGTATGTTAGCCTGGAAAAAATGGAGAGAAAGTGACCTTACGACTAGCCCTACCCTTACCACTGCATGGTGTTTGTCGCATGCTGGGGCCGTAGTGGGTTATGCGAACCCGAAGGTCAGCAGGTAGAAACCGCCAGCCGCTCCTCAGGAGAAAGATGAGGCTTCCATGCCCATAAAGCGGGACCACCTCGGGAACCCACAGGGGCAGTCCACCCTGCCGCTACGAGGGTAGTGCTATAGGGTCACGCCGAGTGCATTGACTCAATGGCAGTGAGGTAGGTTCTGCTTTGGTTGGCTGCCCGTGGCCGGGGGTGCCCCCACCACCTCTCCAGCTCACCTGGTTTTCTTTTCTTCAACCCCCAATTCAAGCATCGCCTTTTTAACCTTCTGGGCGCCCCCCACCCTCAAATTCCCCTGTTTAAGAATTTCTTCTTGTCATTTTTTTCTTAACATCTTCTTTTCTTCCTGCCCCCACTCCGACCCCGTATTGTTCATGGGAGGCGTGGCGGTGACAGCCCTGGCATGCTGTGGCCTCACAGCTCCCAGACTCTGGACAGGGCTGATGGCCCTCGAGCAGGATTGCTGTCCCGGGAAGCAGACGTCAGGCAGCAGCACTCGATCCTCAGGGCCCGCAGGGTTTGCTACTGGCAGCTTTGGGCAAGGAGCCCTGCAGGGTAGTGGGCTGCACATTGCTTCGCTCATGCCAAGTCTCCCAACCGCTGTCTGGGAGGAAGGTGAGGCTCCTGCCCCATGAAGATGTGCAGCTTCAGAAGCCCACAGGGCACGTCCACTCTGTTCTGTAGTGCTGCTATGAGTGAGAATTGGCTCGATGGCACTGAGTTTGATTTTGTTTTGGTTCAATGTTGGGCTAAGGAGCCTCGCTGGCACTGGGAGTTAGGCATCGGGCTACTAACCACAAAGTTGGTGTGGTAGTTACATAATCTGGTGTCAACTTGAGGATAGTAAGAACATGAAAGGGTGGAGTCCATCTGTCAGGTCACAGCCTGATGCCTCTTTGTGGGCATGGCCTTCTCATGAGGATTCTGGGAATTTCCTCTCTTCCTCCCTGGAAGTGGATGCACTCTCTCTCTACTTCACATTCCTGTGGACAAGCCACTTGGAGCCATGCTGATGACAGCCAGAGCCATGAGATGCTTCCACCGCCACTGGGTCCACAAGACTTTTCACCCACCAGCCTGTGATTTTCCTGCATTTGGTATCATTGCATTTGCTGTGTGAGTCTGAAGAGCCATTTATAGACTGGTATTGGAAACATGGGCTAATATCAGACATGGATTTGATCTGGACTGGGCTGGGATGTTTTCTTAATATACAATTACTCTTTGATATAAAGCTCTGTCTTATATATGTATGTGAATGTCTCTGGATTTGTTTCTCTAGTCAACCTGGACTAACACAGTTGGTATTTCAAACCTACCAGCCAACATAGGGGGCATAGATTAAGCTGTCTGTCAAGCTGTACAATCTCAGAAACCCTTAGATAGGATCACTATACATTGGAATCAACTTGATGGCAATGGGTGTGGGTTTTGTCTTTGAAGTTTGTTTATTTTTTATTTGCTTTTATTTTAATTTTGAATTTTTATGTTGTTTTTGTTAATTATGTTGTAAGTAGCCTTGCTGGCAAAGCAGTTAGAGGTCTGAGATGGGCGATCTGCTTCTATACAGAAACCTCTGGGGTGGCTCTGCGCTTTCCTGTAGGACCTGACCATGAGTCGCATGGACTTGACATTATGCTGTGAACTTGGGTGACTGTTGGTTTGGTTTTCGTTGTCGTTTTTCTCCTCTAGTGGGGCTGAATGATGTGGGGAGGTGGGCTAGGAAAATGTGAATTTAGACAGCTGCTCTTACCCATTGTGGACTGAAAATGGTTTGTTTTTGGAACTTCTCCTTGGGAGTTTTATACTTATTGCCGACTTGTAATAGGACATCCAAGTTGGGGTTTAAATTCTTCTCCACAATTGCAGATGCCCTTTCTAAGAGTAAAATGTTGAAGGCGTTTGTAGAAGACAACTTTCAGGATCCCACCCAGGTCCTCTTCACGTTCACTTCCGGAGCACAGCCCCGCCTCCAGGGCTGAGAGCGGCACTTCCGGTCGAAGGGGGGGGGGGAGCGGGGGGCAGGTACAAGTGCACCATTTGGCTGTGGCCCAGTTTCCCAGGCTCACGTGGCGAGTGGAAGAAGAGGGAATGAATGCTCGTGCCCCAGAGCAACCCTAGCCAATGACGAGTGTCTCCAGCCCACAGCTAACACGGCATACTTAGAGGTGAAAAATGAAAAGTTCTCTTGCCAAGATCAGGAACGAGACAAGGATACCCATTCTCTTTAAGTTAAAACATCAACACAGAGCCCTAAGCAGAATAATACAAAACCACAAATACCCAATTTAGCATGAAACCAATGTGTGCATCTAGATACCCAGCCCCTTCACTTGGTTGGTCCCGTGATTCTGAAGCCTGCATTTGGCACTGGCTCTCCAGCAGACTTCAACCGGCGTCCACGTCCCCTTCTATGTCAAACTCCGCAGGCTGGCTCCCCACACCCTCCTCCCTCTTCTGGCTGAAGGTTTTCCCTCTGATCTGGTCTCCTGGGTTGGCTGCTTGGGGGAAACCTGGATGGCATACTTTCCAATTCCGCGGAGGTGGAGAATCGGCAAACAGGCCTGCTGAGCCATTTCCAGTCAACACTGCACCGAAGTCCTCAGAGACTTGGTGAGGAAAGGGGTGAACAACATCATTAGAAAGCGAAGAACAAAGCTGACTTCTGATATGATTGGTTATGTAGGAAATCCAGGAGATATATTATCTAAATTAGGAGTTTATCAAGAAAATTGGCTGACAAAATCAATACGCAAACATCCATTCTATTTCTATATACCAACAATGAGTGGTTGGAAAATGAAAATTTTTTAAAGATAACTGCTAAAAAACCATAAAATCAAGTGTCTTTGAATAAATATGATAGATATGCCAAGTCTCTAGAGAAAATTATAAAACACCAAGATAAAGAAGGCCCAAATAATTTGGGAGATTTGTCTTCTTTGTGGCTGAAACCCAATATTGTAAAAATGTCAGTTCTCCCCCAATTTAATACTTAGACTCAAGGCAAGCCTGATAAAAATGTCAACAGGTTCTCCCTTCCCCTTTCTTCTTCTGTGGGAGTTGACCAGCTCTACAATATATATGTGAAAGGTAGGAAGATTAGGGATAGGGGGGTCGTCTCCACCGAATGCCAATGTGAAACAAAAATTAGCTAGCCACACCACAAAAGGGTTGGAAAGAAATCAGGCAGCCATTAGACACCAATGGGACCATCCAAAGCTGGGGATGCTCAGACCCAGGTCACCTAGACACAGGTGAAGGCCAACCTGGGTGTGCACACTAGACACCAGCAATATTATGTCACGCACATGCCTGAATTCAGCCAGTAAGAATGGCCAATACCCTCAACCACACCTACATCCCACCCACACCCCAGGTGGGGAGAGAAGGGGATAAATAGCACAGACTGAGGGCAGGTGGCTCTTTTCAGGTGGGGGGTGTGATCTCTCCCATGTGTGCTGTGCGCACACATGCACCCTCTCAGGGCTCACCCTCTCTTCTTTTTTCAAAATAATTTTTGTTCTGGGACTCCTCTTTTGGTTTTGTGGACTCCTTGTAACGGCCATTCCCAGGGCCCCTGCCATGCAGCCTTGCACGCTTTCCAGAGGTGGCGTGTACTATCTGAGAATG